TGTCTTTGGCCGTATTTCTCTGTGCTCAATTGCCTCACTACAGCTGCGAATATTTCACTTTTCTCCAAACGGTCCTCTCACACTGCCCCCTTCACTGCTCAAGACTTCTGTCCCAGCTCCTCCTGTCTGACCTGGGCTCTGTCCATACATCACGGCTGAAGTTTATGTACACAAGAAGAATTTTTTAAACAAAATGAAATTTAAGCAAAGTGTGTTCTGATATTTTGCACTGTCTCTCATTTGAGGCTCAGAAATGAATCTGAAATATATGTGATTTCCTCACTAAGACTTTAAAATTGCCAAATAAGAACTAATGAGTGTTGTTGGGTTCCAAAAATACCCCATTTTTGAGTATCAGAAAAAGATTGAAAAATCAAAATTGGCAAGAGGTTTTGAACCAGGTTTCATGAGAAAATGATCTTTCAAATTGAACCATTTGTTGATATAGGGATACTCTGTAAGTGACTTTTCTGTTGCTGCAGTAAACTACTATGACCAAGTTAACTTACAGGAGGAGGAGTTTCTTTGGGCTTTGAGTTCCAGCAGGAAAATCCACAGGGGTGTGGTGAAGTCTGGGAGGAAGCAGTTGGGGCAGAAAGCTGAGAGCTCATGTCTTCACTAATGAGAGAGCAGCTGGAAGTGGACCAAGGCTCTAATCTCACAAAGCCCGCCCCAATAATGTGCCACACCTCCTACAGATTTCATGACCCTCCCTAAACAGTGCCACCAATGGGGACCATACACCAAGTGTTCAAATACTGAGCCTATAGGGTTCATTTCTCATCCAGGCCACCATAGATAGCCATCAATCACAGTCCTACAGACGACCTGAAACACTGCTATGATTTTCAGATTCGGATTCTGATCGCTCTGGTAAAGACAGAAAAGTACTAAACAGAAAAGAAAATAAAAAAGAAAATCCTTAGACTAAACAGTGAATACATCTTTAAAATTTTTTCATTCAAGGAAAAAAGAAAGAAAATAATCAAGAATTCAATATGACCTAAAAAAATGAGTATTTTGACAATCGAAAAGTCCTCTGTATGCATCGCTATATTCTATTCTAACTAGATGCTTCCCTCTGTCTCTAGCATCATTTACATTTAATAAAATATTTATGTGATGCTTAGAATATTTTAAATAATTTATTATTGTTTTTAATTCTACGTCTTTTCTGATCATTTAGTTTCTTAAGAGATTTTGCAGTCTAATTAAAAACTGTGCAGTATATACTCCTAAGTTTGTGTAAACAGAGATGATTTGAAAATATGTATATATAATATATATTGCTGCAGACAGAGTTTTCATGTAGCCCTATACCCAGTCAGACTACAAGGGCTAGAAAAGGGATTTTACAGTGAGAACATGGTGTGTGCATAGTTGCTTGTAGAAAGAACTTAGATTTTTTTCTGTGTATATTTTTATTGACTTTTTGTGTATTTCATACAATAGATCTTAATAATGTCAGACACTGTGCACCCTTATACCCTCTGTCAGGTTTCATGTATTCTGTCATATATGCTAAGGCCTATCAAGTCAAGTTTGTGTTTCCAGATGTCTTTAGGTTCTTGCTTTTGCTTCCTAGTATCCCCAGCAGAGAATAAGTGCACAGAAAGGGCACTTTTAGCTAATTGCCTCTTGGTATCACAGATTGTCACATTTGATTATATAAAATTCCTTGAGTGACTGGCTTTTATCTTTATGTTAAAATAAAGTATAATTATTATGTATGCTTATGAATCTATGCAGACTAAAATAATAAAATGAAGAGTTCCCATAGTACATTTATGTTTTATATTTATACATTAAAAATTTACATAGACTCAACTGTTACAATATACTATAGATAGATAGATGATAGATGATAGATAGATAGATAGATAGATAGATAGATAGATAGATAGATATTAAAAGATTATCATAAAGGGATCTGGGCAGTGGTAGAACATGTGATTTGCATACCCAAACCCTGGGTTCAATCCTTCACATTGCAAAAGGGAAAACATGTTTTGAAGGATTGAATAAACACAAAATTTTACTGTTTTCTTCTCCAGGCATTGGTTTATAATGGGTTCTCCTTGGAATTTATGCTCTCCACTTAGACAGCATCAATACTGACACCTTGGCCAATGTTAAGTTATGTTTCTCAATCTCCAAACAGGTACATTCCCATTCCACACAACCACGAAACTCAAGCAAGTTCTTTTGAAAAAATATAAATTCTATACCAATAAACCTTTCAGTTGTTTGGGGGATTTTTTGGTTTTGTTTTGTTTTGGTTTTGGTTTTTTGTTTTGTGGGGGGGGGTTGGTCTTTTTGGTCTTTTTGAGATGGGGTCTGTCTACAGCCCCAGTTGGCCAGGAAGTCACTGTGTAGACCAGGCTGGCCTTGATCTCACAAAGATCCACATGCCTCAGCCTCCTGAGTGCTGGTATTAAGGCATGTGCCACCACACCTGGCTCTCAGGTTTAGTCTTAATATAGCTTTATTATTTATCTATTACAACTTAACAAATTGAACCAAGTTAAAGCTACTAACAAGGTTTCAAAAATATTGATGATTATATGATTTCTCACACATTTGTTTCTTAAAACTATTTGTTTCCTTCTCCTCCCTGGAATTTAGTTACAAGTCCAGGAAACACACCTTGGTCAAGTTTCAATTTGCCAGCTTAGAACCAATAGCTATAAATCTGGGCATAGCTATGTCACTTAGAACCTGAATGATGTTTCTGAGCCTGGCTTATTTTCACTTAGTGTGATCTCCAGTGCCATCCATTCTGAAAACAGTGTAATTTTGTTCTTGTGAATACCTAAATCATACACACACACACACACACACACACACACACACACACACACTAATGAACCAAGAGTAAGATTCTTTTCTTCTAATCATCCATTGATGAAGATCTACTGAGTTCATAACTTGGTTATTATGAATAAAGTGCACAGTAAACATGGGTATGCAGGTAGCCTTATTGGGTGTTGCCTTTTTATCCCTTAGGGTATGTACCGAAGAGTAATATAGCGGGACCATGTAGTAGTTCTACTTATTTTTAGTTTTTTGAGGAACTTCTATACTGATTTGCAAAGTTGCTTCACCAACTTACATTCTTACTATCTGTGTGTAAAAGTTCCTGTCTTGCGTATGTAGGATCTGGAAAAGAGATTACTGGAGGGTTGGCATAATAATCGTGGCTGACAGGAGATGAATTGCCATTAAGTTACCTTACATACAAGTATGAAAACATCATGATGAAATCCACTGTTATAAGATTAGTATACACTACTAACAGTACCGTACCTCATATCCTTCCACAAGCTACTTACCTGCTCTGGATCACCTCTTGCTCCTCTGTAAAAAATGTTGATACATGTATTTTCAAAAGTTGTTGGGAGAATTCATTGATAAAATACAAAAAAAAAGAGCTAGTATTATTACCAAGATTGGCAAATTAAATATGATACTCTAATGTAATATTTCCCTGGGTTTTATGTATGTATTTCTTTATAGAGAAATATTCTAGGAATTAAGCAGAAAATGGATGCATGTTTCTGTTTAACTCCAGGGTCTAGAATAATGATAGATCTCTCATGATAGCAGTGCACACTTGTTAATGGATAAGTAATCCCCCAGCATATTGACTGTATAATGTTTAAAAAACTTTTAAAGCAGAGATTAGCATCCATGTAAAAATATGTTGCATTTGGCATGTTGAACACCACACATCTGTACACCACATTCTTAAAAACGTTCTTGTGCCAAGAATTTTTACTTGCCTTATAAAAAGGCAATAAGTAATTTGTTCTTCAATGCATATTTTTATTAAATTTTTGTGAATTTCATACAATACATCTTAATCATATTTGGACACCCCCCATAGCCCACCCACAGGATTCCATGCATTCTGCCATATATGTTAAGGTCTATCAAGTCAAGTTTGTATAACCAGATGCCCCTTGGAGTCAGTTCACCCACTAGAGCTTGGTCAGCCTATCTAGCATCACCATCTTAAAAAAGATCAACTCTCCCACACCCAGCAGTGATCAACTGCCAATAATTCCTCAGCTAATGTTGGGGCCCCCTGTCTATTTCCCCAGCTCTATGCTGGTTTTGTCTGATTGTGTTTGTATGCGTCTTGTGCACCTTGTCACTATTGCTGTTAAGCTCATTTAAACAACTTCCCAGAACTCTGAAGGGCTCTATTTCCTTATTGTCATGCACCTCCCCTGACTCTTACAATCCTTCCATCTCCTCTTCCACAACGGCCCCTGAGCTCTTGATGAGTGAGTCCTATCCAGGGACATACACTCTGCAGTCTCTTATTCTCTACATTTTGGTAAATTTTACTCTTTAAAATTTTATTAAATCATCTAGTAAACAGCAATTCCGTGTCGAAAGAATAAAGGTAAGACTGTCTTAGTGTCCTGAGTGTGTGATAGAAAGACGAGAACAGTGTTTTATCTAATGTGATAGATAGAACAATATGTCATACTAAGAAAAAAGGTAGGTATTAAGAACCGCACATGTATCTGATTTTATCGCATCATAGACACTCTTCACTCAATAAATACCTAGACACAGAGATAAATGTAGTTTGACCCTCATAACAGTTTTCGCTCTACTTAAAAATAAGAGAATTTTATAGTCTAGTTCCCTAGTTCCTCTATATTACCGTAGGACTTAGTGAATCTTTCTTATTATCATCAACTGATAACTAAATTAACTAATTCCTACCATTAGTTAATTTAGTTATCAGTTAAAAACCGAATGCTTATGTTAGCTACATAAGGAGATAATTTGTCACAGCTGATGTTTTATCTTTACTTTTTGAAAAATAAAATGTATATGATTCTATAACATCAGATAGTAAAGACCTACATTCCAAGATGTGACATAAAAGCAGAATTGTCTGTTTTTTCTGCACAATCCTTTCCCACCATTGGAGTTTCCCAGATGTGCAAACTTTGATTACACCATAATGCTAGAAGTGGAGACTAGGCCCTGTTCTTCCTCCCCTGGAACACTTGAATGATCCGTCTACGTATCTGTTTGGTCTTCACACTGTAGACAATGGGGTTCAGCACAGGAGGGAGGAGCAGGTAGATATTGGCCATGAGCATGTGCACAACTGGTGATAAATGCTTCCCAAACCTGTGGACCATGGTGACACCAATAAGAGGGACATAGAAGAGGAGCACAGCACAGATGTGAGACAGGCAGGTGTTGAGGGCTTTGAGCCTCTCGGCTCTGGACGCAATGGCCAGCACCGTCTTCAGGATAAGCACGTATGAAAAGAGAATGATGAGGGCGTCAAGTCCTAACGTGAGGATGACCACAATGAGGCCGTAGAGGCTGTTGACACTGGTGCTGGCACAGGCGAGCCTCATTGCATCTTGGTGAAGGCAGTAGGAATGAGATAAGACATTGGAATGACAGAAGGGCAGCCTCTTTATAAGGAAGGGCACAGGGAAGACCACACAGACTGCCCGGGTGAGGACAACTAGTCCAATCTTCCCAATAACGCCATGGGTGAGGATAGACGCATAGCGTAGTGGGTCTCTGATAGCCACGAATCTGTCGAAGGCCATGGACACTAAAACTCCAGATTCTACTACCCCAAATCCATGGATGAAGAACATCTGTGTGATGCATGCATCAAAGGGAATCTCGGGGGCATTGAACCAGAAGATGCTGAGCATAGTGGGCAAGGTAGACATGGAGAGACTGACATCAGTCAGAGCCAGGATGCAGAGGAAGTAGTACATAGGCTCGTGGAGACTCTGCTCTACCTTGACGACTGCTAGGATGGTGCCATTTCCCAGGAGGGTTAGTGTGTAGAGAAATCCCAGGGGAAAGGCCATCCATGGGTTTTTGTCCTGCATCCCTGGGATGCCTGTCAGAATGAAACTATGGTGATCGGTATGTGATGCATTTAAGTGCATCATGGTGCTCTCACCGCTCCATGGGGCTCGTCTTCCAATTATCTCACAGCTCCTAAACTGAAAAGATAGGCTCATTTAAGTAAAAGACTTTATAACTGCATAAACAGAACAGAGGAAAGAATTAGCTTAACAACTAGTGCGTACATAGTTTTTGTAACACTTTGTCCTTCAGCTTCCTAGAAACATGTAATGACCTCCCTTCTCTTGGATTTATATAAACAAATATAATATAAATATATATAAATATTGCTCCACGCGCCTTTACATTTATTCCACTGTGTTTATAATGAACTAAATGTTCAGGTAGATACATTAGTAGGTCAGTGAATATACTTGTTCAAATTAACATTCAATATTAATAAATATCAAAAATGTACAATTTTTATAAATTTCATCTTATGTAGTAAAGAACTGAGAATAATACATAGGAGAATTCACACATTTTAAGATTTTCTTAACACATCAGAAATTTGGGAGCCACTACTGAAAACATTTTTACGTTCCACCAACATTTAACCAATTTCCAAACTTACTTCTGAAACAAGGTCTCACTATGTAGCTGAGGTTTGCCTTGAACTTGTGATCCTCCTGCCTCAGCCTCTTGCATGTTGGAATTTCAGGCCTGTACCACAGGCCCAGCTTCCTTTCTTTCTATTATCCTAGCTAATAAACAGTGTGGGCCTCGCATTTCAGACTCTGCCTCGTCTTTCCACCCATTCCCTCTTTCAGTCCGTTCTTCATTCTATAGTCAGATGAATGTGACTGTGCTTACCAGAAATCCGACTTATTCATCACCAACAATATTTCTTTTAAAGGTTTCCAATATACTTAAAAGAGATCTCTAAGTCGCTGTTAAAGCTCTCATGGTACATAATTCATTACTTACAAACCTGTCTAGAAATTTACACCAGTTTCTCTCCCATTTGGTTCCTTCAGTTCTGCTAAATTTGCAGTCTTAAAGTCCCTGAACTTGTGGATGCTTTCCTGGTCCTGAGTCTCTGGGAACTGTGTTTTCAAGGTCCTTATGGTATCTTCCAACTCCTTCTGTTTTGCTTTGCCTGCCCTGTCTGTCATTCCCCAATAACCCTTTTGCAAATTCTAGCGAACAGTTGAAAAACTCTTTGGTATACAGTTTGCACATTCTAGGCTCTTTCTTATAAATGAATACAGTTAAATATTGTGTAACTGTTTGCTAAATGTCTGTGTCCTACTAAAAGTTAAATTCCATGAAAGCACGTGTTATTGTTTCTCCCTTCATAGACCACATGCAAAGAATATACAGCATAGCACTTTCATCGGTCCAGTGAAGAAAAAAAACAATAAATGAACGAAAATAGATTATTAAGCTGGGCAAGGTGGCACACGCCTTTAATCCCAGCACTTGGGAGGCAGAGGCAGGCGGATCTCTGTGAGTTCAAGGCCAGCCTGGTCTACATAGTGAGTTCCAGGACAGCTGGCGATACAGGGAGACCCTGTCTCAAAAAGACCAAGAAAAAAAAAAAAAGATTATTAAATGTCAGTCTTCT